GCAGAGAGAAAGCAAGGGAGACCCAGAATCCAAAGGAGGCTCCAGGCTCTGAGCTGTGAGCACAGAGCCTGACACAGGCTCAAACTCACCAATCACAAGATCATGCCCTGAGCCAAAGTCAGATGCTCAAGTGATTGAGCCACCAGGTGTCCCATAAGTGTGTTTCTTAATCTCCAAATATTTTGGGATTTTTCTGCTATATTGATTTCATTTAATTCCATCATGTCTGAGGGCAGACATTGTATGATTTCTATTCTTTTAAATTTGTTCAGGTGTGTTAATGGCTCAGAATATGGTTTATCTTGGTGAATGTTTCACATGAACTTGAAAAAAATGTATATTCTGCTATTGTTGGATGAAGTATTCTACCAGTGTCAATTACATTCAGTTGATTAATGATGCTGTTGAATTTGATGATGTTCTTACTGATGTTCTGCCTGCCAGATTTGTCCATTGCTGACAGAGAAGTGTTAAAGTCTCCAACTATAATAGCGGACTCATCTTTTTCTCCTTGTGGTTCTACCTATTTTTGCCTCATGTATTTTGATGCCCTGTTATTAGGTACATATGTGTTAAGTAATGTCATGTCTTCTTTGAGAATTGGCCCACCTGGGGCAACTTATTGTTTGTTTGTTTGTTTACTTTTTGAAGGGGGGGCACAAGTGAGCTGGGGGAGAGAGAGAAAGAGAGAGAGAGAGAGAGAAAAGGAGGGAGGGAGGGGGAGAAGCGGGGCTCCTCCAAAGCAGGGCTCATGCTTACCCAAAGCAGGGATTGTGTTCATGAACTGTGAGATCATGACCTGAGCCGAAGTCAGATGCTTAACTGACAGAGCCCCCCAGGGTCCCCTGTTATTTATTATTATGTAATGTTCCTCTTTATTCCTTGTAATTCTCCTTGCCCTGGAGTCTGCTCTGTCTGAAATAACCAAAGCTATTCCAGCTTTCTTTGGATTAGTGTTAGCATGGTACATCATTCTTTATCACTTTACTTTTAATCTGTGTCTTTATTTTTAAAGTGGGTTTCTTATAGACAATATATAGCTGGGAGCCTCAAGTTTTAGTAGATGAAATATTCAAATCCTAGTGATCATTTAAAGATGGGGATAATAGGATGACTCAAATGTTTTACTCACAATTGCTAATCTCATTCACTGGGATAAAGAATGCATGGAAAAGAGCAGGTGTAGGAACAGAGAAGGTGAGTTTCTGTGGTCATGCTGAGTATACTGTGTCTACACCCTATCTGCTGGAAATATCCAGAAAATGGGGCCTTGGTAGATTCGGAGTTCAGGAGAAAGCTGGGAATTGGAGACATTGATTTTGGACTTGGAAGTGCTTTAATCCTGGCAGGGGCCCTGGAAAAGGATGGGAATGCACAAGACAGGTGTGCAAGCTGAAAGAGAATAGAATGGGGGAGGATCAGGGAGAATTCTTTGGTTTCAATGACAGAATCCAAATGACTTAGCTCAAATAATCAAAGTACAAAAAGTCAGAGACAGAATTTCTGTTTTTTTTCTCCTTCCAACTACCAATTTCATTCTCTGGCAGTTTTGGAATCACATTTCAAAACTTTGTGGCTGGAAATAAATCCAACCCCCAGTTCCAATTAGAACATCTCAGGGAAAGTCTGTGGCTGGTTCTTGCCTGGGTCATAGGCTGGTTCTGAGGTTCTGATTTATGCCATTGACAGTTCTTATCAGGAACACAGTTTGGACAAAGGAAGGAGAATTCCCCTGAAAAGGAATAGAGGATGGCACTTCAAGCAGACCAAAATAATCAGCATCTCCCTCAGACAGGAAGAGGTCAAGGTGAAGGGAAAGGCCCTAGGAGGAGATTGGGGGTGCCCCCAGAGCCAAAGGGAAGGTGGGGAAATGCAGCCCTCCAGAAGCCGAGAGGGTGCATTTGGGGGAAGGGGACATATCTGAGAAAGTCCTGCCATTGGGGTACCTGGGTGGTGCAGTTAAGTGTCCGAGTCTTGGTTTCAGCTCATGTCATGATCTCGCAGTTCGTGGGTTCAAGCCCCACATCCGGCTCCTAGCTGACAATTCAGAGCCTGCTTGGAATTCTCCGTCTCTCTCTCTCTCTCTGTCCCTCCTCTGTGCGTGCTCTCCCCCCCGCCCAAAAAAAAAATAAATAAATAAACTTTAAAGAAAGAAGAAAAGAAAAAGTCCTACCACTGATTTCAGCAACTCTGCCCTGGAGGGTCAGTGAGGTGTTCGTGGCCTGGGAGAAAGGGCAGGGCTGGAAGGGCTAATGGGGGCATCAGGGCATCCCTTCCCCTGGGCAATTCCAGAAGTGCTCATAGGTAGAAGGAAAAGCAGGGAGGGGGCAGAGCTGTGGGCTGAGGGTCATTTCTCTTTTCTCAGGGATGCAGAGTTAATCATGGGAAGGAGCTTCAAAATAGGGATTTTTTGCAGAAAGCTGACCAGGGCCCCTGGGAGGGTCTCGGGCCTTTCTAAAGTCCTAGAAGAGGCACAGGCCACGAAACTGCCCTGGCGCATCTTCGAGGTGGTACAGGCTGTCCCTGGTGTGCTCGGCTCGGAGCCGGAGTCAATAGTATTCATAGGAATGTAGCAGACCAGAGGGGTCCACATGGCATGCAGTTTATTTTTGTGTTGCGTTTAGGGGTATTTCTAAAACACCTTTGTTCCAACAAGATGAGGGGCAGTGTCCAGGCTGGCTGGGACAGAAATGAAGCTAGGATTCAGGCTGACAGACAAGGAGAGACAAGGCGCCAAAGGGTCGTGATGAAGTGAGGTAACAGTCGCTCACAGGGGAGGGCGCGGTGCTGGGCCTCGGAGGTGGAGCCATTCTGGGGCCGGGAAGACCAGGGCCAGTTGAGGGGTAGTGGACAGCACTGGAGTTGGGTCAGAGGGGTGTGCATCTCAGGCAGGGGGGTACCTGGGAGGCACATCCTGGTGTCTGGAGAGGGACGATGTGATGTATAGGAAGTCAGAGGCCATGGGTGGGGAGCAGAGGGTGACAGAGCCAGAGGCCGTGGGTGGGCCTCAAATTTCTACCTGGGGCAGGAAGCAAGGAGCTAGATTAGCAGTGGGAACCAAAGGCAGGGCCCCTCTGTGTCTTTGCCACCCAGCCGCTCACTGGCCCAGCCCCTCCCGGGTTATGTGAGGCAGGGGGTTGGTGGGAGTTGGAGCCTCCCATGGGAGGGCTTCTGGGAGTAGGAGCTAGAACTCAGGTAAGGGCTTCTTTACACTTTTATTATTTTTTTAAAGGATTAAAAAAAAAATGTTTTACTTATTTTAGAGACAGAGAGAGAGACAGGGCACAAGAGGGGCAGAGAGAGAGGGAGACACAGAATCTGAAGCAGGCTCCAGGCTCTAAGCTGTCAGCATGGAGCCCGACGCGGGGCTTGAACTCATGAACCACAAGTTCATGACCTGCGCAGAAGTTGGACACTTAACCAGCTGAGCTACCCAGGCACCCCTGCTTTGCACTTTTAAACAGACCCTTAAAGTTTCCCAAAGCAGAGGAAGTCAGGCAAAGTTCATGGATTTTGGCATGGGGCGGAACAATCCCCTTCTTCTCTGACCAGTTGAATAGTTTTTGCAAAGTCTCTGTTTTTTGGCCTCTGTTGTTCCCCCCATAAAATGGGGATAACGGCATCTCCTCCCAGAGCAGTGTCTGCTACATGGGAAGTCCTGCCCTTAGGACAGCTGTCAGTTGTTGCAAAGTAGCGGTTTCTACCTCAGAAATGGGAATAAACAGATTTCAAAGCCTTGCCTGGCTGGCTCTGCCATGGCTACAGGTGTCCGGGGGGTGGGGGTGGGGTGTGCGGTCACACGGGCCTGCTCCCTCCTCCCCCCCCCCCCCCCCCCCCCCCCCCCCCCCCCCCCCCCGCCCAGGGATCAAATATGGCCTCAGGTGCCAGCAGCCTCATGCTTGGGCATGATAATCCCTCAGGAACCTCACGAGTGTTTCGGGGGGAAGGGCTGGGGGCATAAACCTTGCACGAGCACTCCCCTGTGTGTCTCTGACCTCACAGAGGCCCTGCAAAACTGCAGCCATTTCCAGCTCAGGAAGGAGCATGCTGAATCCCTTGCAGGACCTGCTCCATCTTGCACAGCTGGTGGGTGGCAGAGCTGCACTTTCCCACCGTGCCTGCCACCTCCCTAGGCCCCTATGGGGACACAATCCCATGGGATCAGTGTAGGGTGGGGGGCCCGGGGCCCTGAGCGGCAGTGGGGAAGTTGGGCTGCAGGGCCCCTGAGGACACGTTTCCCAGATTCTCAGCCTCTGTCCACCCCCAGACACCCCCGTCCAGGAAACGGGGGACAAGACCAGGACAGGAGGCACCATGCTCCCTTGGGGTTAGAGAGAAAAATTGTAACCCTAGACCTTAAAAAGGAATCTACAAGCCTTTTGCATTGTAGGCACTCATCAAATGTGGAAGGTTTAGATTGTCATTAAATCGGTATATGCCCATACACTAAACACAAAGTGGATAAGAAAATTCTTTGTTGGGGCGCCTGGGTCCCTCAGTCGGTTTGGCATCCGACTTTGGCTCAGGTCATGGTTCATCTCATGTTTATGGTCATGGTTCATCTCATCTCATGGTTCGTGAGTTTGAGCCCCGTGTCGGGCTCCGCGCTGACAGCTCTGAGCCTGGAGCCCAGTTTGGGTTCTGTGTCTCCCTCTCTTTCTAGTATTTCTCCTTTCTAGTATTCTAGAAAATACTTTGTCTAGAACAGAGTGGCAAAAGGCTCTTTGTCGTTTCCACCCGCTGCCTACATCTCTGCCTTTTCTCTTACCTCCCCCTCACTACCCTCAGCCCGAACACACTGACCCCAACATCACTTGCTCTTTCCCCTCTGACTTTGTTAAAGTTGCACGGTCCTTGGAGAAGACGCTTCTTCCTTCCACAGTGAGTTCTCACTCGTCTGTTAAAGCCGGTGTTGACGCCTCTCCAAGGGCATCATTCGTGGTTTCATCGAACTAATACTTGCTGGGGATAGGCCTGTGCTGGACGCAGGGAGTACAGTCATGAATAGAAAAGAGCCAGTGCACCTCGCACTGCTCACTGCAAAGGAGGGCGAGGTGCCTGTGCTCCGGGTCAGGATAGCAGGGCGCAGGCCCCCACCCCCACCCCCAAACCCCATCCTCGACCTGCTGCAGCCAGTCAGTCCTGCAAGAGTATTCCTGAAGCCCCAGGGAGGCAGCCAGGCACTGGGGGCAGGTCTGAAAGGGGATAGATTGGGGGGGATTCCCAGCTGTGCTGCTAACTGACTGGGTCTCCTGCCCTTTGTGGGACCCCGTTGAACAAATGGGGGGAGGCCTGAGTTTTGGGATGCTAGGAGATTTAGATAACGCATGTAACATGCCTCTAGCTGTGCTGGCTGCTTACCTCAGCACTCCCCACGGTATGTGGTGGGGGCTGGCTTTCACAGGTGTCCAAGCAGATTAAACATGTGCTTCTGGTGGAGGATGGGGACTGTGTCTTAAGTATGTCCAGAGCCACCCGTACTCCCCACGTTGAGCTCAGTACTGAGTGCAAAATAGATGTTCAATAAAGATGAGGTAGGATAGAAGAAACTGAGAAAGCATCTTCTCACACTTGGGTGGGGGAACTGTAACTTATAGGTGTGTTTATTCAAGAGTCATTTCTTGAGCCGGGCCCCATGCAGGGCACCGGGGGGGGTGCTGTGTGCACACGAGGCCCCTGCCCTCCAGGGGTTCCAAGGCCCTGAGGACTGACAATCTGCTTTCTCTCCGCTCACAGGCTGGGGGGAGCTGCGGCCTCAGGATGTCGGCCTTCAGGCTGGTAAGAATTGCATCTATTCCATTTTGGGATTATCTGGGAATTGCCAAAGGCTACATCAAGTCACTCAGCGAGAGGCAAGGAGGGCCCACAAGGAAAACTTCAGAGATGAGGGAGCAGGAGGAACAAGACAGATTATCTCATCTACAGAAAACGAGTTTGGCTGACCTCTGGGCCTGAGCAGGTGGCCGCACTTGGTGCGGTAATCCCTCACTTCTGTTCGTGGCTTAACTGCCTTGAGAAGGGGATTTCTCTTTTGTTGTCTCATTGCAGCCATTGCAGGGAGCTCACTCAGAGTGGATGGGAATCAGACACCGGGCCCGATCTCTCCTTCGGGCTCTGCACCACCTTCCCCCAGCTTAACAAACCTCTAAGTGCCTGCCTTGCCTCAAAGGCCAAGAAATGGCTCTGTGTGGAAGGGCAGCAAATGCTGAGGTGCTGCATGCCCTGGAGTGCGGGTGGCAGGCACAGGCCTCCAGGCAGCTGCGGTGGTGCAACTTGGAGGCTGGAGGAGCCCAGAGGAGAGCCCCAAATCAGCCTGGGCAAACTTCCCTGCCCTCCCCTCCACCCCACCCCTGAATTTCAACCCAAACCCAGGAAGGTCGGATAGATGGAAGTCCTTTTTGATAAGAAAATAGCCCAGATATTCTTTTTCTGCATGCAAAGTCACACGGTGACCATTGTCTCCTTCTGGCCACTGGATCCACACTGCTGAGAGGGGGCAGCATTGCCCAGCAACCGAGGGCTCCTGCAACCAAGCCCTCCAACTGCCTGAGCTACAGAAGGGTGGCTAGGGCTGTTTTTTCCAGAACAGAGACAAGCTGTTCTAGGCTGGAGGGAGAACACACATAGTTTCAAAATCCAGGTTGTTTTTGGTGTTCAAATCACCAGCTTTAGGACTCGGCACCACTTTGGAGCATCAGGAGCATGGGTTGTAAGGCAGAGCCAGGCTTATTTCACAAAGGAATGCACCCATGGGAGGCATTAGTCCCAAAGGTTCCAATGGGAACATGACTAACTTCAAGCAGAGTTTAGAAAGCTACCTCTTGGGGACATATTATGCTCAGTTGCAGTTGTGCACCTGCTCTGTCTTCTAACATTGCAAGCTCCTTGGGAAGACAGTGATGGTCTGATTCACCAACCATCCCTTTAGACGGTCCTAGCGACTCCTGAATAAAGGGCAGAACCATACTGAGCTTATTCCTGATGTACCATCCATCTGTTCTACTCCATGCTGGGCACCATTCAGGCTCCTGACCCGTGTTACATTCCATCTTCACAACAGCCCTGTGAAGCTGCCCCGTTCAATAGATGAGGAAACTGATGCTCAGAGAGGTTAAGTGACTTGCCCAAGGCAATCTCACTCATGGAATGTAGAGTAGGAATGAGAACCCAGCCTGTGTGACTTCAAAGGGGCTAACCAGGAGGCCACTCTGCAAAACCTTGCCACAACAAAATGCCATAATACATACCACAGACAGGGCAGCTCAAATAGAAATTTATTCTCTTACAGTTTTGGAGACTAGAAGTCCAATATCAAGGTACCAACAGAGTTTGTGTCTGGTGAGACCTCTCTTTCTGGCTTGCAGATAGCCACCTTCTCCATGGCTTTCCTTCTTTGGACACACACACACACACACACACACAGGGAGAGAGAGAAAGAGAGAGAGAGAGCTCTCTGGTGTCTCTTCCTCTTATCAGGACACCAATCCTACCAGGTTAGGGCCCAACCTCTTTGACCTCATTTAACATTAATTACTTTAAAAAATGTTTTTAAAATGTTTATGTTTATGTTAAAATGTTTTGAGAGAGAGAGAGAGAGAATACATGCATGAGCGGGGGAAGGGCAGCTCTGCACTAACAGCAGAAGGACCAACACAGGACTCAAACTCATGAACTATGAGATCATGACTCAAGCTGAAGTCAGATGATTAACTGACTGAACCACTCTGCCCACCCCGCCAACTAAAATGACCTCTTTAAAGGCTCTATACCCAAACACAGTTTACACTGAGAGATACAGCTTTGACATATGAATTCAGTCTACAAAAGGCTTTAATGTTTACTTTAATCTCTATTGTTAAGAAAACTCAAACATGTTGGGGCACCTGGGTGTCCAACTTCAGCTCAGGCCATGATCTCACCATTCATGAGTTTGAGCCCCACATCAGGCTCTGAGCCTGGAGCCTGCTTTGGATCCTGTGTTTCCCTCTCTTTTCCCCTCCCTCACTCATGCTCTGTCTCTCTCTCAAAAATAAATATTACAAAAGAAAAAAGAAAACTCAAACATGTTGGTTAACTACATTAAGGAAAAAGTCTATACATTTTTTGAAAGTAATGAGCAGTGGACCCTGCCCCCCCACCTCAGGCTAGTAAAATATATTTTTTTAAATGTTTGTTTATTTGTGTGTGTGTGTGTGTGTGTGTGTGTGTGTGTGAGAGAGAGAGAGAGAGAGAGAGAGAAAGAGAAAGAGAGAAAGAGGATCTGAAGCAGGTTCTATGCTGACAGCAGAGAGCCCAATGTGGGGCTCAAACTCATGAACCACGAGATCATGACCTGAGCCAAAGTCAGACGCTTAACCAACTGAGCCAGCCAGGTGCCATAAACTCTTTTATTATAATTAAAGTAGGACTCAAGTTGGGAGAAATTGATTTTCACATTTCAGAAGTACATGGCAGGCTGGGAGTGAGGTGGGGTTTTCTCCAGCAGCAGCTGAAGTTTCCTTCCTCAAAGACTATGGCTAACGTGCTGCTTGGGAAGCTCTGCCAGTTGTTCACTCTATGACCTTGGCCAGGCTTTCTATGCTCTAGACCTTAGTTTCACCATTTGTCGGATGAACATGGGGCCATCTGAGACTTCTCAGGACATCAGGGGCAGCGCCTTTTCTGACCCTGATCGTTCCCGGGAGTGGGGAGACACAGCTACAGCTTCTGAGGTGCAAAGACCACAGGCGAGCTAGCCACCTATTTACCCCAGTCAGCTGACACCCACTCCTCCAGTCTTCCTCCAGCCCCCTTCAACCTCTTCCTCCTGCTCTCTCTGGCCACCTCTTAGAGCCAGACCAGCATGGTTCAAATCCCAACACTACCACTTACATCTTTGTGGTTAAATAGTAATAATGATACTGTTGTCATGAGGATTACACTGAGTCGTTGGAAGCCACATATAATCCCAAACTTTGATAACAACATTAGGATTGCTAGATGTTCTGAATGTGTACAGTGGGAGACAGTGGTCTAGGAAAAGGAAACAGCACATGCAAAGGCCTGGAGGTATCCACATCATGGTGCATCTGGGAAAGTACTGGGAGCAGGTGGTAAGTGCCAGGGCTGAAGCTGCTCTGTCCACAGTGATGGTCATGAGCCCCAGGTGGTACTGAGTGCTGCAAATATGTCTGCCCTGAACTTGGATGTGCTGAAGCCTAAAGCACATGCCAGATACAAAGACTCAATGCAAACAATGTAAAATATCTCATTAACAATTTTTACATTGCTTACATGTTTAAGTGGCAATATTTTGAATATATTGGGTTAAATAACATTCTGGTGCAGCCACTCTGGAAAATAGTATACAGTTTACTTAAAAAGTTAAAAATAGAACTACTCTATAACCCAGGAATTGCATTACTAGGTATTTACCCAGAGGATACAAAAATACAGATTCTAAGGGACACATGCTCCCTGGTGTTTATAGCAGCATTATCAACAATAGCCGAACTATGGAAACAGCCCAAATGTCCATCCACTTATGGATAAAGTGAAAGTGGTATATATATATATATATATATATATATATATATATATATATATATATAATGGAATAATAACCATCAAAAAGAATGAAATCTTGCCATTTGCAATGATGTGGATGGAGCTAGAGTGTATTATGCTATGCAAAACAAGTCATAGAAAAACAAATACCATATTATTTCACTCAGTGGAATTTAAAACAGATGAACACAGGGGAAGAGAAAAAAGAGAGAGAGTAAAGCAAACTATATGAGACTCTTAACCATAGGGAACAAACTGAGGGTTGATGGAGGGGAGGGAGGATGGACTAGATGGGTGCTGGGCGCTTGTTGTGATGAGCACTGGGTGTCCTATGTAAGTGATGAATCACTACATTCTGTACCTGGAACCAATTTTACCCTATATTTTAAAACTGGAATTCAAATAAAAAAACTGGAAATTAAAGAAAACATTCGTAAAATTAATTTCACCTGTTTCTCTTCACATTTTATTTCTTTATTTTAAATAGTTTATTATCAAGTTGGTTTCCATATAACACCCAGTGCTCATCCCCACAAGTGCCCTTCTCCATGCCCATCACCCCCCTTCCCCTTCCCCCCACTGTCATCAGTCCTCAGTTTGTTCTCAGCATTCAAGAGTCTCTCATGATTTGCATCCCTCCCTCTCCTCCCCTATTTCCCCCCTTCTTCTCCCCCATGGTCCTCAGTTAAGTTCCTCCTAATCCTCCTATACATGCAAACATATGGTATTTGTCCTTCTCTGCCTGACTTATTTCGCTCAGCATAACACCCTCAAGGTCCATCCATGTTGCTACACGTGGCAGGATTTCATTCTTTCTCATTGCCATGTAGTATTCCATGGTATAGATAAACCACATCTTCTTGATCCATTTGTCAATGATGGACACTTAGGCTCTTTCCATGTTTTGGCTATTGCTGAGAGTGCTGCTATGAACATTGGGGTACATGTGCCCCTATGCATCAGCACTCCTGTATCCCTTGGGTAAATTCCTAGCAGTGCTATTGCTGGGTCCTAGGGGAGTTCTATTGTTAATTTTTTGAGGAACCTCCACACTGTTTTCCAGAGGGGCTGCATCTCTTTACATTTTAAAGGTGGCTGCTAGAACATTTTCAATTACACATGAAGTTTGAATTGTATTTCTATTGGACGGTGATGGTCTTGACCACACACTAAGAATTTACAAATCGTGCTTTCTATACAGCTTCCCTTTCTGGCAGCTGAGGGGATAGGAT